ATCATGGACATTTCATCCTTACATTTCACTTCTTACCATCCCCATCGGACAGTGTCCATAGAAACACTTCCTCCAGGTTTCAACTTACTGTTTCAGCCTCATAGGGTTTTTAATCCATTGCTGTTGAGACGTGACCTCAGCCCTTATGCCATCCTTGGCTTCTGTAAGTATGTAATTTAAAAACTAGGAATGTTGTGCCGTGTTTTGTGATGCAAGTGATTTGAGCATTCCAGCCAAATAATATATTCAACATATAATAATTAATAAAATTACTATATTGTATTTTTTACTTGATCTTATAGGTCTTTTGGTTGGTGCTGTTTGATGACCTGCCACAACTGCACATCATCAGCCTGCAGCAGAAAGCCACACACTGATCCCTCCCAAGCTTACACCACCAACTTCAAACACCCTTAATAAATCAATTTGAAAAATCAGACTCCTCTGCCTAGCAAGGAAATGCTTACATTCCTCAACATGAAGCCCTACTGGGAGCAGAGTAGCAAATATTTTCCTTTTTCTAAGGAGGGGCAGCGTAACTAATGAAAAAGTAATTGGGAGCTCAGGAGGAAAATTGACACATCTTGCTCTTATTCCAGGGATTTAAGTAGAGCAATGGCTACCTACTAATGAAAGCCAAAGTGGCATTTCGCGGGTGCAGTGCTCTGCCAGAGCAGTGTTTGAAGACCTGAGCACTTGGTGGCACAGACAGACCTGCTCCACGCAGGGAGGGAAGGAGGGACCCAGAGCTGCCAGGGCTGAGCTGCAGCACAAACGAGCTGTTTCAGTCGGTTTTCAGCCACAGGGGCCAGGCAAGAGCCAAAGCACAGCGGCTGCATGCTGGGCCCAGGCCCTGGGAGGAGGCAGGAGCAGGGAGAGGCTGTCCGGACTGGGACAGAGTCCAGAGGAACCACCATCTCCCCTGGACAGGCCAGCACGTGTCCCTGTGGCCACACAGGAGTTGCTGTGGGACCAGCACCCGCCTGCAGCTCCCTCCAGCCAGGGCAGTCTGGAACATCTGCTGCACAGGCATTCTGGGAAGGCAGCCGGAGGAGCTCTGCCCCTCTGAACCCGCACACCAACCGGCTGTGCTAGCACATGAGAGGAATTCAAGTAGATTGCAGCCAGATCTTCCTTCTCCTCTCCTCTCCCAGGTAAGCCATTAACCTTTTGGATGACAGCTTCACAAACCAAATGACTGAATGATTCTCAGGGTCAGTGCAAATCCACATTTTCAAAACCTGACATCAACAAATAAAAGTTGTGACTGAATCCCAAGTCTCTCCAAGAGGGAGATTAAATGCCTGTGACACATCATCTGCAATCAGAGTGCTCCATTTCCCAAAGTATCCATCACAGATTGATAACATCCACGCAAAAAGTTAAGTGCAATTATGTCTGTCACTGTAAAACACACTTCGGCAGCACTGACTGACATCTTGCTTGCAGCTGACAAATTGTGAGCGGGCTGTTTGAGTGACAGTGGCAGAGGCTCCTGAAGGAATGTGCTCCCTAGCCACAGAAGCCACCCAGTGCCTCAGAGCACTGCAGCTGGGATGAAGCCACTGCACAAGCAGCTGCAAGGCAAAATGGCTTGAGGTTGCTCCCAATGCTGGACCTGCACTCGAAGAGGAGAACATCATCCACAAATCCTGCTCCAGCCTACTCCAACAGAGCCTGACCAGTGGCAGGGCTGAGGCCAGAGACACTGCTGTTCTCCAATCCCCACCCATGCACTGGTGACCTTTGATGCACAGGCTGGGTGAAGCAACAGTGTGCCAAGGGCCAGGTGAGTCAGCTGTTAGCAGCACCTGTTCTGGGGGAGGATTACCTTCCTGCTCCCCACAGCAATGCTACCATGCAGCACAAGCCTCGCACACAGAGTAGAGGTACGAGGAAAGTTACATCAAACTCCCTTGTGTCACTGAAGCCTACAAAAGCCACCCTTCAGCAGTAGGACAGGAAACTCCAAGTGCATTTGTCCAGGTTGCCATTAGTTCCAAGAAGCTGTCGCAGAATTTGGAGAGAAAAGAAGTAAAGCAGCTTGATGCCTGCACAATGGCACGGCTGTGCTGCACAGCACAGCATACCACCCTCACCAGGATGTGCCATGGCTGCTGTTAGAAGCCAGCAAGCCAGATGCCTGCAGTAGAAAACACCAAGGAGAAGAAACGGCTGAAAAATACCATATGCAGTCCTGCACAACACTCAAACAAAGCCTCCCCTTGTGCAGCCCACACTGTGAGCCATAACCCCGTGACAGGAGCAGTGCAAGCTGCACTGCTGACGTGCAGCGAGCTGTGGAGGTCACACCTCTGACACATGACCATACTCTGATGTGCCGCCATCCACTGCCATCAGCACTTTACACCACAGATCAGAGGGGCTGGTGCAGAAATAAATATCTCCCACAGTAAAAAGTTCTTCCATTTTGGAAGATTATGTTGTGCAGAAAGTCACTGGTGTGTTTTACTGGTTTAGCTTACGTGCAGCATTACCGCTTGTTCTGAAGCACCCAGGCATACCATCTTGATTTAGAATTATTCTATAATGCCAGACAGCAACTGAGGAGAGCAGCTGAGATATGTGACCAGCCCAACATCAGACTCTCCACAGCGCTCCATGCAGCACTGCTCACCAATTCTCCCTCAGCATTGAGGCAGCATCAAAACAACTCACTGCTGTACCTGTGAGGATATATCTACATGGAATAAAACAGCAAACTGGCTGCCAGTGTCATCTTCTCTCGCTACAGTGACGTAAAAATAAGAGGTTACTTGTGACTACAATCTTTCACAAACACTGTGTTGAGCTACACACCACATTGTTGATAAAGTATTAAAAGAGGCTTTCAAGTAGTCTGTATTCCCCATAATAATGAAATATTTGCAGGATGCACCTTTATATACATTTCTATTTCTTAAAAAATATATTGGATAATAAATAATCAGAGTAAAAAAAAGAGACATGAAAGATGCTTTGAATGATCAGGCTGGTAGTGTAAAAGTTACCTGTAAATCACGCGTGGGGTGTGAGAGTGGAGCTGACTACAGACAGGTGGGTTTTACTAGGAGGCATTAATGTAACATTCAATTATTCCACTGCATACTGGCTGGCTTAACTCAGCCAAATTAGAATACATTTTATATTGACTATTTTGACATTTGCTTTATTTGGCAAGTAAAACAAAACTGATCCAATTTCCTTGCAGCCATTGTAAACCATAAACTGTACAACAAGAGGTTATAAAATATATAAGCCTTGTAAACACTTCTTTTCAGACTGTTGCTGATGCTCTGAGCTCTAATTTTGGCCCTGTTCCCAACAGCTCTGACACTGTTCTGCAGCCTTCCCTGCTCAGCCATAAAGTGACCCTCCACACTCAGCTATTAAGCACTGCCATTGACATTCTCTTGCTATGTTAATTTTTCTCTTTATTGTGGAAATCTGCCCAGACAGGAATTTCTTGCAGGCAGAAAAAGAAGATCTGTGCTTTAAAATCAAGACATCTTTCTGATCTCACATGGCCTGTGCTGGCCTCTAGCTTGTGTCCAGTAGAGCTTCAGAAAAATGTCTCAGCTCCCCATGGAACAGGCTGGAATCTCAAAAAAACTGATGGCTTTTCATCTCTTTTGCCTCCATCTCTATTGAGAAGCATCTCTGCCTGCAGCACACGTGACAGCACTCAACAGCAAGCAGTGTACCAGGGCTTGGCAAGTGACCAAGCAAAACTTTCAGTGAAAGAAACACAAGAAACACCCAGAGGCTCTGGAGAAGAGCCACTGCAGGACGGTGGATTCCATTCTAGGTCACAGGTGAAGTCTCAAGTGTACACACCTGCCTTAAAAAGACACCTGATAGCTTTTTGGGGAGCATTTTACAACAGTTTAACAGCGTAACTCTGAAATTATCTGTAAATCAAGACTCCAAAGTACGTGAGCAATTTCAACCCATGTGATACAATGACCTTCGTACACAATGACCTTAGATCCCCCTGGAATGTCTCTCCTCTCTCTCTTTCAAAATTCTAGCTCTCAATAGTTACTGCAATACTGTAAAGGTATTTGCAGTGTACCAAATGCCTAGTGTAAAAATACATTTTTGTCTAATTAGACAAAATCACACAGGGACCCATGGGGAGCATGATGTCCCCAGAAATGGCCTAGCCCCACTCAGTCCCTGAGCCTCAGCAGCAGGACCCTGACTCACACTGGGTGCTGTGCTTTCACAGTGAATGAATGCCAGGAGTGCAATGTGCTCAGTTTAACCTCTGTCTGGGCTGGCTTAACACCACTTGGTTTTGCCTGGAGAAATACAGCAAGTTAGCTGTCAATACAGGACTATTGGCATATGCAAATATACACACCAGCACATTCATTCATACACACATACAAATATTGTCCACAACATAGGGAAAACAGCCTGAACAGACACCGTGCCAGCCCCTGCCCAGCAGCGCTGCTCCCATCTGTCACCACAAGATGAGCGGGGCTCATGTCAGCTGCATGACTGGAGCTCAGCGGTCGGGTCCAAGAAAATAAAAACCCAAGAGCCAGTACTTCAAACCATGAGTGGACTGATCTTGGAGATGTGCAAAACCTGTTTCTCTAATAAAGTCTGTATGAATGCTTCTCTTTCCTTCTGGTCAAGGAGAGCAATCAGCCTGGCTGCAGCTCTGGCCCACTCTTACAGGCTGGCCCACAGGCACATGTTGGAAACCACAACATCCTGCATAGTTTGAAGCAAAGGAAAGGTGCAGTCTGCTGTTTTCCTTCCTCTGCAGGCTTTTTCTTTCTTCTAGCTTCTTCACCCATGTGTCTTTACGCAATGACAGGCAAAGAAACTTCCAGTAGGTAAATACTTCAACAACAGCACATTCCTTCATCGTGCCACAATCATTCCATAAGAATACAGTACCCTGGTCTTGGTTTCCAAGGCAAGGTCAGAAACCACACACCATGCAGCATCAAGCAGAAATGGCTGGAATGCAGAAAACCTACCTTGGCAGGTTGGGAGCAGGGGTCGAAGCTGGAGCTTGGGCAGGAGGAGCTGCGGGCTGTGCGGAGTCGTGGTTGCGTGGCACTCTGCCCATCCGGTACCAAATGCCCATGCTGTTCAGCTCCCTGGGGAATCAACACAGAAGGCATCAGTGCTACAAACAAATGCTGCACATATGCATGAACATCAAGCACTGATGTGTTTCACAAACACCTCAGTCAGTGAGAGCCAGTCTAACTGAAAAAAAGAGGATGAGCGAATTCCTACATTAAACCCAGTAACACTTGTACTTACTTGGACTTTTCTAATGACAAGCTTCAGCTCTTACAAACTACTACTCAGTAATTACAGGAACACAGGGTGCGTTGCCTTGGTACAACTGAATTTACGACAACAGTTTCGGAGTGAAGGTTACTTACCCTATAAATGTGTACTGAGGAGGGGCCTGTTTAGATCTTCCCAGGATTCGGATATCACAGATGGCTGCCTCTGTGGAATCTCGAGGGATGAATTTAATGCACAGCCTCTTCTTTCTGAAAGCTATTTCTTCTGGAAAAACAATGCAGAACACAGGGTGTGTTTTATGCAAGATTAGGGTATAATGCTATTTATTGTCTCTCCAAATATTAGGCAGATAATTATGGGAAGAACTGGTGCCAAAAAACAGACATGTCAGCAAACCAGACAGTGCAGTGCCATTCAGTGAGGAATGTTTCATCAGGAGATGCATGACGGGCACCACAATAACCAGATCTCCTCCTGCCCTCTGCAGAGATCAGCCCCCACGTGTGCCCAGTGCCGCCACACAGTGCCAAATGGCAGGTGACTCTGCCAGTTCCTCATACCTCTCACACTCCCTTGCTCCTTCCCAGGTAATGTTTGCCTCACTGGCCTGGACAGATGTATCTATAAATTCCTCTCACAAGCATCGCCTCTAGGAATGTACCTGGAAGCCACTGACACAACCAGTCAGTTCAGTCTGCCAATTGCTTCCAACTAGTCACCTCCACCAGGAGGGGCAGGCAGAGCCCACCATGCAGAGAGGTCGAGGGTAAGAGCTGTCTGCCCAAACCTCACACGTCCCAAGTATTAGTGACATCTCCTGATGCAGTCAGCAGGCACAGAAATTATACTCCCACCGTGTTTGCCCTGGTTCTTCATAGGGACAAAGTGGATTGACAAAGCAAAACTGCCAAGAGGTCCAACGAGGCAGCTGTGCTGCTCTGACCTGTGCTCTGGGAGCGAGTGAACCTGCTGCACAGCCCTCACTGTTACGTGTCACAGAGCAATTCCACTTGCTTCTGTGTTATCCATCATGTAAAACTCAAGCCCATCAAAGTTAAGCCTTATCTATATAATGAATTCACATATCTGCAGGCTGTCTGTCTGCATGCAGACACAATCCACAGCCAGCTCCGGGGCAGTCTGTGACCACAGGTGGCACTGGCACACAGAGACGGATTCGCAGTGCTTGGAAACCACTGCTCCATCTCACCCTAAGGAGTCTCAGGGCGAGCAAGGTGAGGTTCCTGTTTGGATGCAGGCACTTGGAAGGCAGGACACAAGTCTACTGATAAACTGAAAATCTAAAGAGCAGATGCTGAATGAAAATCTGGAAACAACCAGTAACTACAAACAAGTGCCTGCAAAATAAAAACCCTTCAGCTTAATATGAATAAATATCTTCTAACTTAAAATAATGCTCTCACTTCAACAGATGGCAAGCAGCCTTGTCTTTGTGGTTCCTCCTGTTTCATAATCCACACCTTGGGAGAAGAGCAATCCATCCCAGCCTCTGGAATGTGCCATTGCACCAGCATCACTAACTGTACAGACAGTGTGAGGTGTGCAAATACAGCATCTGTGCATGCACCTTGCAGTTACAGTGCTACTTTTAGAGATGGTAAATACCTGCATCACTGAAGTTTAGTTCTTATCTTGATTTGAAAACTAGGGCCTCTGTTTGAAGTGCCTAAAACTGATTTTAGGAGTCTAGGGTTTAAGGCTTCCACAACTGAAAATTTTCTCAGGACCTAGTAATTTCAAATATATTTACTGCAAGTCAGCTGCCACTTTGAAAGGAACACAGAGACACCTGTAACTACAAACCTAACTCTGAACAAAATCAGTGCCTCTTGTTTGACTTTCTCTGCAAGTACAAAGCTGCGTATTTGCTTTTGTCTGTGGTCTCTCACCCTTGGTTGGAGTCTGCAGTCTCTAGCAAATGTGGTTTAGGAGCTGGATTCAGTAGTTACACATGCTTAGCCAGAGTTAATTTTAAGTAAACATATTATAAACAGTCAATCAAAGTGTGTTCATTCATGCCAATAAAGGGAAAGATGTGCACTGCTTCCTTAGTACAGGCAGTGCCTCTGCTATAGAGACTGTGGGGTGACAACCCAATGCATTTCAAATTAGTAACAAAGCCCCCTTACACCCTTCCACGAGGACTTTCACAGAAACTGTAGCAGCATGCAGTAAGGTCCAGCACTCCCACGGGCAAGCAGGATAAGCCAATAACTCTACCTCACACCACATATGCCCAGGAATTCTCAAGGGGTGACCCAGGGGAATGGGCTGCAGAGCTTTTCACTTCCAGGTAACAGGTTCCAATCAGAACCAGACTGCAGCGACTAAAAAACCATCGTCACATGCTGCAGTCCCAGATTCCCTGCAAAGCAGGCTCATGTACCCCCTCTTTCTGCTCATTCCTAGGCTGGATTTCATCACTGACATGCACTAGGACCAGCCCTGCTGTGACCAGCAGCTGCACACTGAGTATCAGAGCTGGTGTCCTGCCATCCCCTCACACTCTGCTCCCACGGGGCTCATCCCCTGCCAGCCCAACGCCCTCAGTGCCCGCTGCAGAGCACAGGGTTGCCACCAGACGCGGCTCCAGCAGCCGCTGCCTTGAGTCCCAGGGGAGCCAAATGCACTGTTTGGGAACTGCTCACTTAACTGCTGCAGTGAAGCGATTCTGCCTTGCAAAAATGAGAATGGTATTCCCCCTGGACACTGTACTTGTGCCTTCTCTCAGCAAGCACAAACATATCTCACCCCCCTCAGCACTACCTGGCAGGACATGGGGCCTCGTTCGTTCATGGTGGGAGAGGCAGAGCGGGCGTGCATGAACACAGCACCACAAGCATATCCCCTTCCTTTCACTGCATTTGTAAACACCCCTCTGCTCCTGCTAGGCCCAGTCCACACTTCAATATGAAAAAATGAACTTTCTCTTCCTGCCTCAGAGCTGTGAGGGGGCTCTAGCAAGTGAGTGGAGAGATCCAGGCAGTCCCATTAAACAGCCTGAGGAGTTCAGGGAAACCAAAGACTGCTTTCACTGCAGCCCAGAGCTGTTCCTAAACCCTCTGCTTGGGACACAGTCCTCCTCTGCCTGACCACAATGGCACTGTCAGAGCAGGAGGTAGGAACAGATATCAACTCACGTGTATCAATGGTCTCCTGGATAGGAATGAAGCCCACAGGTAAAGTGTCCTTGATATCAATGAGCTTCATGTCAACCAAGACGTTGCCTAAATGACTCTTTGGAGAGAGAAAAGAAACAGCTGATTATGACAATGTCGCCAAAATCAAACCCAGCTTTTCCCACCTGCTGAACCACAAGATGCCTTGTCCAAACACAACTTTAAAAATGGTAAGAAGGTACCAAGCCAACCCTTGCAATAGTCCCCTCTGAAGGAACCAGACAACAATTGACTAGGACATACCAGTCAACTTCCAGCATTCAAGATTTTAACACTTCACCTACTGCCATACTTCCAGATACTTGGAAGCAAAACCAAATTCTCTCTCTTGGAAAATGGCAGTTGAAAGTACCACCTCCACCAACTCATCCACTGAGTAGGTCACCTCAGTTCTTAGAGACTCTACACCACCACAGCAACATGACATTTCCATGACAGTAACAGCAGAAAGCATCACAGGACAACGGCTCATGCAGGCACAGCCAAAGTTATTACATGCATTAGCTAATTAGTACTGAACAGACATGGTTCTAGCTCCAAAGAGCATGTTCCAGAAGCACGGGCCATTTGGAATGAAGAACTTCATCTGGAGTCCATGTGAATTCTGAACTCATGCCTCATCCTATTAATCAAGGCTTGAAGAGCTTAAAGCACAATTCAAAGCGACAGCCTCCACAACAGTTTAGAGACCAGATTTTTTTTGCAGTTCTCATTAAAGCCAGCACTGCTGCCAATAATCTGGATTCATGTATGGAAGAAGAGCACATTTCAGTTACTGCACAGCCCTTACAAAGAGAAGTGTCATCCCAAGCCATCAAACCATTATCAGTGAGTTTTACTGTTACTGGCTGCTAAGTACCTCCTTTAGTTTTTATCTGGCAGAGTTTTTCAGGCAAAGCCTCTACTCTCTGATTATTCCACTGAACTATTTAAAAACATATTTAAATATGCAGGCTCTGAAATAAGGGGAGATCAGGTCTGTGTTTATTTTTTGGAGGTCCTGCATTTTACAGTCAACTCCTCAGCAGGAGGGCCAGCACATCTGCAGCCCTGTCCCACTAGGCATGAGTGTGGCACACACCCTTTGCTCATGTAAAGAGGCCGAGGCCAGGCAGCCCCACACGCCTCTGACCCTCCACGGCCAGGGCGTCTCAGAGCCAGCAATGCTGGATGCTGCCAAACCTGAATGTGTCAGTTAACATGGTCCTGGCAACAGCAGACGGCAGATGAAGTGGTTACTGCTGATTCATCTTTCATGTTTTATTTATCCAAGCCGTCTGGCTGAGTTACATCAGTGGCAACTTTCAGCTGAACCACCGATCACTCTTCCATCGGCAGCAGACAGGTAGGAGATGTGCCTGCAAGGAGTTTGTTAGCTGCTGGAACTTGGGAGTCAGCACCGATGCTCTGCCACATGCACAGAAGAAAAGGGAACAAAGCCCCTGTGCTCGTGAGACCCACCATCCAGGGCCTCCTCACCATGACTCTCAAATACAGCAACATGTTTATAATCCTCAGATATTGTAAACTGTTGAGAATGATGACTGCTGAAGAGACACTGCAGACTGGCTCTGCTATAACCCAGGTATCTGAGGTGCATTAACTCTGCATTAACATGTTCTTCAGGACAAAGTTCTGTGTTTTGTTCTCAGTGTTTTGGTTAACACAAAAAACACCCTGAATGTAAAACTTGCAACCCAAAGTGCAGCAACACATCAACGTCCACGGGAGAAGGAGCCTCTCCCCTCCCTTCCTTCTGGATGAGGGAATTAAGGCCCTTTAACCCTCAGAGGTTTTCAACAGGGCAGTACATCATTATCCCCCATGGCCAAAGAGGGCTGAGTGCTGGGGAAGCTCTTGCTTTAATTCATGCCTCATCAATATGAGAAAGGTACTCCCAAATCACACCAAGCTCAGGGCTCCTGCCAAAAGCCCAAAAGGCACCAGCTGAGGATATTTACACTGTCTCTGCAGCCAGCAGCTCCTACTGTCCTGTAATTATTTCTGACAACATCACATTTCAGGTAGCCACAGATACACCTAACATTCATATCAGCAGAAACCTTTCTGTTTAATAGCCTCCCTGCCTATTCTGGGGCTGTTATTCCTGTGACTGCATGTACTCCAGTATGAAAAGCATAATTATTGTCCATCTACTCCAGGAAGCGATATCTAGAGGCAGGCAGGGAAGCAGATGGAATAAAGGTCAAATGCTGGGAACTGGTAGCCTCAGGCTCTCCTGTCAGGACCCATGAGCAGCCTCTGAAGCTGCCGTCACTTTTTTGTTCCCACTGCGGTGAAAGCACAAGTACAAAATGGTACCTCCAGCTCCTGACAGCTGAGTCTCTGTGAACATCCAAACCACGACCAAAGGCAAGATTACCCACTAGATGGAGTACATTCATTGCAGAAGTCAACAGTTCCCCCAGAAAAGAGAAAGTTTTCACACTAGTCTCAAACAAAACCACAGCAGAATGCATCAGGCCCTCGCTGCACAGTCTCCTCTCCTCCACAGAAGTGTGGGCAGACAACTGCCACTAATCACAAAGCAACTTACACTTAATGGTCAGATCAGATTAAAAGAATATAGCAGCATATGCACAATGTGGGCACATTTTCAAGAATCAGCAGCAAAAACAACAAAGAAAGCAAGCTAATCCTGGAAGAAAATATCCAAGATGCCCCACAAGTCAGAAACTAACATCTCCTTCACCAACACTACCCCCTGGTTTTCTCATGGTACTTTGGGTTAGAAATCCATCACAACCATGAGTGTGCAGTGGTCACTGCTGCAGCAAGAAACACGAGTGCGAGAGGCTGTTGAAATGCAAGTGTTCCCTTTTCTGCTGCTTTTATTGCAAATTTTGTCAGCAATTTCTTTCCATGAGGAACACAGACAAAATGCAAATATCCTGCCATTGCAGTTTGCCTCCTGACGCACCCAAACTCAGCAAAAAGCCTGCTTGAATTATAATTGGCTCCATAAAATGAATCATCTTATGGGTAAGAGCATACCAGGCACAGATGCAAATCATGCAGATACTCAGCAAACCGACTTACGTTTTCTTTTGAAAATGATCTGGTGAAGCACAGGTACCGTGTGACCTTGGATTTAAATAAGCCATCTTTCCAGAGGTCAGCATCCAAGCCATCTGCTGTTTGTGCAACCTGCAAAGAAGAGACAGAGGGAGAGAGGAGACGTGAGCTAAGATAAAGTTAATGTATGTACAGTACTTCTTCCTCAGACCTCTCCTAATTAACAGCAGCCCGAACTCTCACAGCATCTCATTAGTTTCTTCACAAGGTGCAGCACAAAGAACTTCCAAGAGGAGGTATAAAAGGAAGTTCTAAAAATGCTGTCTCTTGGGAGCCCCTTGATTAAAGATGCTCTGACAAAGGCTACCCTAATGAGGAAACAGTAACTTGGGTTACAGTCTCCAAACAATAGTTTGGAAAAGTCAGCACATTGAAACTCTCATTACCACCCCACGTGCAAGGGCACACCAAGCACGCTGTGAGTGTCTGTGGAAACAGAGCACAGAAACTGCCCCATCTCAAGACAATTTTCACAGAAAGCCATCAAGGAATTCTGGCTTCAGGCCAAAAAGCTGCTTCCAGCAGATGAGGAAAGCCCCAGTCACTGGTGGATTTTTGCAGCAGTGAGGATGCACTCTGCAAACATCCATCTCAAATGCAACCCCACGCCCAGTTCAATCGACAGCGCACACCGCACGGAAGGAAAGGGAACAGGCACCGGACCCTACACAGACGAGACAGCGGCACAAGCAGGAGGAGATCTCTGAGCTGATTCAAGGAGTGGGCAGGAGGTAGCACTTTGTGCTGGGAAAGGGCTCTGCTCCCAGTAGCAGAGCACTCTCCCACACAGCTGGTAAGCGCTCCAGCCCCAAAAGGTTTCTTGTCAAGTAAGAGAGGAGACAAGGTGGCAAACACAAGGAGAAGGGTAGCAGAAAAAAGATTACCCCACCAGACTAACACCTGACCAATATCTTCCAAGAGGAGACTCCAGCACGGTCTGAAGCTCCACAGAAGCACAGCTTAACTTCTTCCTAACGTCTCTCAGATGGGGTGAACAGCTCCACTGCAGCTCTTCCAAGTCTAATCTTACCAAGTGAGCCCTTGGTCCCAGAGCAGCCTGATAACAAAGAGCTGACATTTGTTGCCCCTGTTTGCACCCACGTTTAGTTGAGTGGAGACTGCACAGGGCACAGGAAGTAAGAGCCGTGTGCTGACAAGGCCTCCGATTATCGCAAGTGCGGGAGAGAGATGTGTGTTCACGGTCTGATCAAAGCACCAAAGTGCACTGGCTGCTCCCCACATTTCAGCAGCTGCTGTTTGCAAGCCCCAGCTCAGCTCAAGCCCTTGTACAACACACAGCTTTTGTATTCAGGCCTCTGCAAAGAAACATGCCTGATTTTTAAAGTCACATTTTAGAACAAGATTTTGCTGGGATTTTTTGCTTACGTGAATTCCTTGAATTCAGCTCTTTCCTCAAGTGATAGTTTAGGAATATGTAAAATCCACAAGCATCTCCCTCCCCTACGGGTAAATCAGTCCTGGTGAAAATATATTCTGAAAACAATTCGCTTGAGAAAACTGCTAAGGATGGTTAGCTTGAACTCCAGGCCTTGTGAAGAATAGTTTGAGGGACTAGACCTAGATTTCATCACTTTGATCACTGATATGGTTTGAGTTCTTTGTGCTAGCCAGTTTTGTTAAGATGTTCAAAAATCAACAGGCAGCAACAGATTCATGTGCAACTGCAAAACTGGTGCTACACAACCTGCTGTCAAATTAACTTTTTATCTAACTTCTGTAAGCTTGAGGAACTTCACATGACTTACAACAATACCATATTTTTTAAGGTGGACATATATCACTTCAGTTGATGACATCTCTACCATTCACTGCTCAGGGCACAGTTGGATGACAACTGGCCAAGGCATCTGAAGGGCCCCTGCACTGGCACTGTTAATGCTCTGGAGAGAGCCCTGGCACTGTCACAGTCCAACTTAACGATAAATAAACCTAAAAACCTCCAATCCACACCACACCCTTTTTTAGGAACAGTCCTGCCATTCTAACCCATCTTCTAGTTGCTGAAATGCAACTGTCGCAGGCAACATCCCCAGCAATGAACCTTGAGTGCTCTGCTCTGCCTCATCATGCTTAAGACTTTTTCCAAGCCTGGAGAATGCAAACATGCACAGACTTGTCAGAAAACTCATGGGGAGAGAAAACAGAGCAATATAAACAGGAGACTTTTTGCATCACCTTCTGGGCTCCCACAAGCGAGGAGGAATGCCCTGCACCCCGTGAAGCAGTCCCATGCCTGAGCAGCGTGCCCTTGGAACAGGAGCGAGTGGCAGAGACCACGGCAAACCCGGCAGCAGGACAGGTACTCTGCAGCCCCAGCTCACCCAGTCCTCCCTTGGCTAAGAGGCAAGGAACGTGTGAGACAGACCACAATGGCACCCAGCACTGGGCACACAGCACACCAGGCACAAGAAACAGTCCTTCTCCTCATGGAGCTGAGGGAAGACACTCCTTACCCACATGCTACAAACAGATGGACCTGACAGAGCGACACACAGTAAGGAAGGTGCCCCCAGCTCATCCCCTCCAAGTGCAGGGTGATCTATCTGCTGCACAGCAGTCGGAATAGAGTTACTGCTACCACAGTCAGGTCTTTGGAAAGCATGCCCTTTAAATCTCCTACCCCACAGGGTGATCTGCCTTAACAGACACCCAGGCAAGAAAAGCACAGCCACCATCCTGTCACAGCAGGGTGGCACCGAGCATGGCCCTGTGACAGCAGGTGCTGCACGGGGACAGAACACCAAGGGCTGCTGGCAGCACCCAGGCAGCCACACTCAGGTAAGGACTGCAGACAGCAGGTGCTGCCCCAGGGCCTGCTGCAGGGGCAGAGAGTGCTCTTTGGGAAGAGAGAGGACGGCAGCAGAACCAGAGCAAAGGCAGCTCCTCGCTGTGCCCTGAGGAGAGAGCGACCCACATTCACCAGCATTATTACACCACCACCGTAATTGGATTAAGCCACAGGAAGATTCTTTTATCTTGTTTAGTTTAAACTGCGTTAGCGCTGCAGCTCCCCATTAAGCCACAGACAGGCTATCTGGGGTGAGCGCTCTCTCTGCCCAGCCATTTAGGCAAAATGCAATTCTGTTATCACAACTCTCACACTGTCCCATGCTCCTTTATCAGGGCAAGCAGCTAATTACACAGCCTGGCTCACACAGGTAATGAGCAGTCAGAAAAATGCAGAAAATGCAAGAAAACTCCCAGTTCTTTAAAGCACCTTTTCACAATTCCCCCCCTTCTTCCCACATCCCATGTCCACAGTCACACCAGCCTGATTCATTTTCTTCCTTCACACTGATCAAGGTATGCAATGATCCAGCGCTGAAGAGCTGTGAGCAAAGCCTCAAGACAGCTGGTTTCCACTCCCACCACACAAGCTGTGCGGCTCTGCATACCAAGGTGTGATGTAGCACAGTTGGAGCAGAACACACAGAAAGGCAAGCAGGTCAAATCTTTCTCTATAGACCTCTGCAAGGTCAGTATTTTCCGGTATTTCACAGTTTGGGACACTAATCTATGGGGAGAAATATCCTGCTGCTGGGTACACAGCAACTAATCCAAGGAACAGGCAGCTGTTAAACAGTGACCTCCCTTTATCCACTCACACATTCGTCTCTGCTGTATGCAGCCGCCTTTTCCTGCCGCCAGTCTCCTGCCAAACCTTAGTTTAGAGGTTTGCATTCTGCCCATCAAAATCATCTTTGCAATTTCATCTGGATGCAAAAATCTTTGCTTCCCATTCTGGAGCTTCTCATCATCATTGTGCAGTGTTGATATTTGGGAATAAACAGCTGATGAGGGATCCATTTATGCAGAGATATAATTTGTGCAATACTTAGGACTCCTTCAGGATGAATATTACCAGGATTATTAAATTTGCATGCCACAGTGGCCAGCTGTTTCTGAAAATCCCTCCTCCAGGTAATTAAGCTCCTCTGGAGTGGCAGAGGAGTGCACAATTGCACCCATAACCCTCCACTGAGGGAAATCACTAAGTGCTGTGGGCTGAAAGGTGGGCAGCTGGCTACCAAATGACTTCTCACAGCACCATCTGAAGTCAAGCTCTCTCTGGAAGAGATGCTGTTTCCCAGCAAAGTAAAGCCTCATTAGGGCAGAAACAAGCATTAGCAGCAGCAGCTCAAACAGCTCTACTTACTACATCATATCCAGTCGGTGCTCGGCTCCGGGATGCAACCACACCAACACCTGTGATGGGATCCATCGGCAGGTCAGGCAAGGCATCAGAGAGGTCTCGCACCTCAGGCATTATGGACTGATTCTGGAAGAAAGGAGCAGAATTAAAGGGCTGCTGGGCAGCACACCCCAGCAGAAGCCAGAGCACCAACAGCCCACATGCATGCCACAGTGCCTGTGCTGACACACCAGACGGCCAAGGTGAACACAAGATTAGGCCAGACACACCTTCTGCACTTTCATTAGCTTTTGATAAGAGGGTACATTTATGCAATGCCAAACAGTTTTGGAATTTGGGCTGGCAGCCTCTGAGACTCATTTTGTTGCTTCCATGAGCTGGTCTCCATCTAGCAATGATGGGAAAACCCAATGCCTTCCCTCCCAAGCAGAGAACAAATTTCACCCCCAAGGTGGGCTGGTTGAAGCAGCTCTCTCATTTTAAGCAGAAAGAAGTCTGCTCCTAATGGCTTCAGAGGGAGGCTCCTCATCCACTGCGGGTATTAGAACATGCTGTGGGTTCCCCCACAAGTCTTCAGTCCCATCACACCCCCCAGAGCCAGACAATTTTCACAGAGCAGCACAGATGTCTCTGGCGCTGGATGCAGAACTGCACTGCCTGCAGGGAGCCTCGACACCAGGGAACACAGAGGAAGCACAGGGTAGGCTGGTGCAAAGCGGACAGAGCCCTTGAGGAGGCCTGAGCATCTTCCAAAAGGGACACATCACCAAGAACGTCAGGGGAGGGAGATACGCAAAGGGGACAGAAGCAGTTAAGACCAACCAATTTCGGAGAGATGCTGTTGCAGGAAGCAGGAGGAGAGGACAAGAGAGGTGCTGAAACAAGTCGCTGAGGAGGAGGAGGATAGGGAGAGGTGCCACTGCCTCAGCATGTGGTCTCCTGCAGAGGCAGCCAGTTAGGGCAAGTCTTCTCTGGCTTTCAGACAGGAATGCCCCAGGAAACCGCCCCCCACGCACCCTGAGATAAAAGGGCAGTGCTTTGTGTAAACAAGCATTACTGCTGCGAAGCCAGACAAGCCGTAAACCAGCACTGCCTAATTCAATTCCCTCATCAGAGCAATCAAACCCCAGCGTTTCTGGGCCACGTAGAAGGCTGGTTACTTACTGCTTCTAGAAAAGGCAGAGGTGAGTGCTGGTGCCAGTGGGACCTGGGTTTACACTTCACAGTGCCCAGTCTGAACAAACATCGTGCTGCAGGCAATAAAAAAGAGCAAGTCTGGGCCCTATGTAAATAATAATAATGTCACATGAACAGCCAGTCTACTTGAGAAGTCCAAAACAACAGACACTAGTGACCAGTAATGGTGCAAACACTATCGCTGAACCAGAGAGGAGAGCTCTGCTCTGGCATCTGGATACCCATCCAGCATGGACAGAGCATAGCAAACCTTCTTTGTTCCCAACAGAGCCCAAGGTTCCAAAGCATTGACGGGAAGCGCAGCTTGAGCTGCAGGGGCTCACCCTCCTCTCCCAGCAGGCTCCCTGTCCTCAGGTTGGGCAAGGAGCACAGGACCCCACCGCAGGAACGCTGGAGGCACCGGCACAGCCCCAAGAGACCCCACGCTGCTGCCCGTGCTGCCCCACCGGCTCATCCGGATCCCTTGCAGATAATCCAGAGGCCACTGCCTAAAATGTGCAGCATGGAACAAGTGCATATGAATTTAACAAAGAGATTACAATCTGTTCTTCATGCACGTTTTCTGAAACTTTTCCAAGTCACTCTCAATAGTGTGATGACTCGTTACTACACATTGGGAGGAGCTGGGAGATAATGAATGCTGATGCAAGCTTCTTTCAGGCCATTTTGAAGCGAAGTCCAGGTAAGTGACAATATTCCCCAGCACGCAAAAAACACTGCACAGCAGGTTCCTACACAGCTGCAGCTACACTGAAGGGAAGCAGATTTGTTCCCCAGGCCTCCACCAAACCCCCACCCTGATGAAGTGCCAGTTTGCTCCACAAAGGCAGGGGAGCAGGGGTAGCCAGATGGCACAGACATGCCACCTCGGCGAGGGAAGCAGAGGGCCTGTGTACCCTCTCAGGCCCCGGGACAGCTCATGTAGGCAGAGATCCCCAGCACTGCCTCCTCTTTCCCAGCAGTGATGGCATGAATGGGGCTAATGCGGGCCGGGGACCTGCTGTTGAATGCTGCCCAGGCCCCATCTTGCCAGCCTGGGGCCTGCTGCAAGGAGTCCAAGCTGCCCTGGCAGGAACCCAAGCAGCAGTCGAGTCAGCCTGGGCAAGACTGAGGACAGGGCCCTGGGCATCCGTGGCACCAGTGTGGAAACGCTGTTGGGTGGCCCTACCAACAGCACAGTGCTGCAGAGCAGCCCCCTCTGCCTGCCGGCACCTCATCCTCAGTGAAGAAGGGCACCTTTGTGGGAGCCATCTTTGGCTCCACTCAGCACAGAAGGGGGAGGGGAAACGGCATCAATCCTCACTTTGTGACGGCTCACACAAAGCCCCTCTATGGCGGCAGCGCCGGGCGCGGGGCTTTCCGCCTCGCCGGGGCGGAAGCCACAGGGTGACGTGGCGTGGCACCAGCGCAGGGCCCCGAGCAGCACCCGCTGCAGCGAGGGCCGGCCGAGCTGCCCACAGCCAGTGAGTCCAGCACCTTCCTCTGCCTGGTGCTCAAACCACAGCCCATACCCATAGCCGGCAGGGACAGTGGACAGAGCACCTGCCCAGAGAGCAAACCTGCCAGGGCCACCACAGCACAGGCAGGCTCTGCCACACCAGGCCAGCCACTCCAGGCAGCTTCCCACTGCGTGGGTGGCACTGAAGATGCATCTGGAACAGATATGGAACAGCAACAATCAGTTTGAACACTGGGATAAATGTTTTTGTGAACTCTGTGCAGGTTAGAGGGGTGTCTCTGGCTGGGCAATTACACAGATGATTAGTTACAGTGCACTTCTCCCCCAGGGCACCAAAGTTCGGTTTCTTTTCTATCACACCTTTGAACTTAAAATAAAAAAAAAAAAAAACAGTGAAAGATGAGATTAAATTAAGGAGCAAGATTCTATAAATACTCCTATTAGGCAGCTTGTTATTTTAATTAAGTTCTCTTTAACCAAGGTGGGTTTGACCTGTACACCCACCTACCATCACTGTGGCTGACCACTCAGCCCAGGAGATGGCCTATCCCCACCTTGCAATAAGCTGTATGTGCTGGGCTCTGCCCAAGGGCCTGCGCTGCACTGCTCACTGCAGAGTTATTCTGGGAACAGCCCAAACCAGTAAGAACATTTTTCCCATTAGTTGGGAGCATACTCCCTGGAGGTCGTTCTGAGCTGTGGGGCCACATCCAGTGTTCAGCACGCCCTGGCAGCCAAGGAAGCCGGATGCAAGCTCTGGGACAGGAAGAAGTTTCAAAACACTGTGGGGCAGCTTGGACAAAGCCAGTAGGGAAAGGATGTGCCTGCACCAGACAAAGTGTCCATGCACACTACCAGCACCAACCCCAAGCAGCACGCAGCACAGCTGCATAGGATGGCTGCAGGATGAGATGCATAAGATGCACTCTTGGCATGCAGCCATGCTGCTTCTGGCAACATCCCAAACGCTTCCCGCCCCCTCAAACCAGCCGCACCACGGGGCAGGAGGCGTGAGGCCCCAGGGTGTAGGAGAGGCCTTCAAGGACTCTGCCAGGCTGTGCTACAGCCTTCTTCCCACAGGCCACATCCACAGTCACACACACGTACTTCCCCTTCTCCCAGTACCCCCAAGTTTGTCTGCTTACGTCCTCTTCACTTGCTATCTCCCATTTTCTTGCTAGTTTATCCTAGGCATACTTTTCTACTGGTTCCACTGAGGTGACTGACCACACACACTGCTGGGCTTTGGCTGGGACACGTACATAGAAGAACATACCTTCAAAAATGAATGCATTATTGTGAGTTTCTAGAGCACTTTTTGCTCTCAGTGTTCCTTTTCAACAAGTTCAGCAAGTTCAAGAGCTGGTATGTACATGATCAGATCAGGCCTGTGGATGTATTTGCTACAGAAACATCATGCTGCCAGCACAGCAGGCCAAGCTCTGAAGTTAAATAGCCAAGACTTGGAGGGAGAATGGTCTTATTGTTTCTTCCTCCAACTACAAGCCCTGTACTTTGACACTGACTTGCTCTTCCCACAGGCAGAAAAGTATGAGCTAAGGTAAAACTGAAAAAAATTATCAACCAGCCTGCTGAGGCCCTGCAGGCTGTGGGAAATGGTCCCACCAAACCAAAGCAGATATTCTGCTTAAATCCTTGCCCGTCTGCTCAGCCTGTCACTCCATCCCTCTGCAAAGGTGGGGATACTGCTGGCACAATGCTCTGCTCCGGAGTCACACTGCCCCGCTCTCCCGGGCCTCCCACCACGTCCGGGAACAGGACAAAGCCCCAGCCAACTTTCTATTTCCGTTCATGGAATAGGACACAGTTCAGAAAAACAGGAGCACAGTTGGACTGAGGGGTCAGGGCCCCAAAGGCCACCATCACAAACGGGTAGAATTTCAGTGTCATGCTTTGCCCCCATGGAAGCATGTCTAGAATCACCCCCACATCCAGGCTCCCCTGAGAGACACCTGCCAGGCATCAGTTGCAAAATCTACACATTAAGACTGAACAGGATGGAAACGGGAACTTAAATCGCAGAATGAGCAAAACCGAGACCCTATATTGCTTCACAGTACTTCTAACTGTGGACACACATCTGTGAAGAGTGTTTCCATATACAACTGACCTTGCATCAGGGCAGGAAAACAAATGACATTCTCTTCAGTTATTTTTATCTTGGCACAGATACGAACCTGGGGGCTACAGGCACGCTTGAGCCTGGGATTCATTTTGTCATGGCAGCACACAGTACAAGAATGAGATGTGTACTTTATTTCACACCTCCAGAAGCTCAGGCTAAGCCTTTATCTAGCAGGTAAGGCCATCTCAGCTAACAGTGACACAAATGACACAGCCAACCTGCCATGTGACACATAGACTCCCTAAAGTACAGGTGTACTCTCACACAGTTTAAATAAAACACAAGATGGAGAAACCCAAGCTTCAGCTCAAGCAGCTGCACATCTCCTGATGTCCGGCCTGTCGGGTTTCAGCGTTACTGTGACCAAGCCAAGAATGCCCCAGCTCTGGGAAGGCACAGAAGACACCGAAGCTTGGTGGACTTTTGAAAAGCTCTCCAGAAACCTCTGACTGAGCTCGCAAACCTTGATGATGCAGGTGGTGAGTACATAAAACAAAGGCAGCTCTGTGTCGCTGCTCCAGCCATCACTGTAAAGCACGCGCCTGTCTCACACCTCCAGCCACGCACGGAGCACAGGTGAGAAAAGGGCACTCGGGCGGACCTACACTGCAGACACTTGGAGCAGAAGACCACACAAAACACAGGGCTTTGTTATCTTTTCTAACGTCACCAGTAAGAATTTACATTAAATTCTAGAGCACGTCAAGGTCAACGGGCTCTGCCCCACGGCTGGTCCCCGACGCCGTTCCCGCAGCCGACCCAGCTCCAGCGGAGCCACCGGGGCGCTCCGGCCCGGGCCCAGGCGCGGGGTCTCCGCGAAGCCCGGCCCCGGCAGCCTCGGCCCGGGGCGCTCCCGCCACCCCTGCGCCGCCCCGGGGGGCTCGGCCCTCCGCCCCGCCCGGCGCCGCGGCCGACTGAGTGCCCCGCCGCTCGCCCTGCCGCGCCGGCCCGCGGGGCCGACCCGCAGGAGCCGCGAGCGCCCGCCGGGCCCGGAGCGAGGCCGCGCCGCGGGGTCGCGGCGGGCGCGGGGACACTTAACTGTTGCCCGTGCGGCGGGCGGCGGGTCGCGGCTCCCCCGGCGCAGGCAGAAGCAGCTCCTCATCGCCCGGCGGGGCCGGCGCGGCCCGGCAGGAGGAGCGGCGGAGGGGAGCGGCCTGCGGGCCTGGGCGGAGCGGCGCGGGGCGGGGAGCGGAGCCGAGCGGGCGGCGGCCAGGCCGCGGGGCGGCCCCGGACTCTCGGCGCGGCTCGGACTCCCCGCCGCCGCAGCCGCCGCTCCGCGCCCACCGCGGCCGGACCGCGGCGCGCAGGGCCCAGAGCCCGCCCCGCCCGGCCCGGCCCCCGCGCCGCCCCGCGCCCCCCGCCCGAGCCCCGCGCTCCGGCCCGGCCCACGGGACACTCACCGCGCTGCCTCCGCCGCTCCGCCCGGCCCGGCCCCGCCCGCAGCCCCGGGCAGCGGCGCTCGGCCCCCACACAGCCCTGCGGCGGAATCGCCCGAAAACTTCCCTCCCCAAGAACGGGGCGATCCCCGGCACGCTCCCAACAGCCCCCCCGGCCCCGAGCCTGGGGCTGACAGGAGGTGCCAGGTGGAAATGGCTGAATAGTTGTGATTTGGTCAATATAACCTCTGTCTTCTGTCTGAAACAGGCGGCATCCAGGAGATGGGCAGCAGCTGCTGTGGGCTGAGGATGAGCAAATGGTGTCAAACAAGCTGGTTGTCTTCTTGAGAAGGCAGTCCCTGGCAGGGGCAAGCGGTTTCAGGAGCTACCTTGAATTCATGAAGATATTTGATGCTCTGTCTCACCAAAGCCTGACAAACCAACGAAGCAGATATGGTCCAGAGAGGTCAGGGTATGCTGGGCTGGATGGTTAACCCTGGCTGGTTATCCAGCCAGCCCTCAGGTCCACTCACAGCACAGAAGACATCCCGAGCAGGGGGCAGTTAGAGTCTAGTTCTGCTCAACATCATCACATGCCAGTGCCCAAACTGACAACACACTCATTGAATTAGCAGGTTATGTGAATCACAGCATAACCTGAGACAGGAGCATGGCCTGTAGCCATCATCACATGAACAAATCCTGCAGCTGTCCTGCAATGGGTTTTGAGCACCTTACCTGAAGCAAGGTCAACAACATCCACCTGGAGAGTATCAAGATGGGTGTAGAGGCTGATATCAGCAGCCTTTGGTGCAGATGCAAGACAGGGAGTTGTAGCTGCTACTCTAAAGCAAAATAAAAATCCTGGGATGAAGAATGAAATGAAGGAGGGAGGGAAACATTAATTTGTATGTGAACTAAAGATAAGGGCAAAAACCTGTTCTTTGTGAGAGGGTGAGAAGTGATGGGTGTGAAATGCAGCAAGAGATTCTGTGAAGATACAGTTAAAAACTACAATAGCAAAGAGTAAAACACAGCTTGGGGAGGTTTTATTACTAGTCAAGTCAAAAGCCTTCCCAAAAGCTCTTATCAGGCATTACTCAGTTATTCCCTCAGAACAGATAGTCTCCCCCTAGAGCTGTTTTCCTGTATTTTCCATGATGCTATGGTTTCCTTTGTGCTGGGAACCTGGCCTTTGTGACCTAGAAGAGGAGAAAGATCTCACTCAGACACCCAAATTTCCTCCCATTGACAAAACCAGGTACCATCTAAAAGCATGGTGCATTTATCAGAGGGTCCATCTCTATGGTCACAGGGTGTTTCCTTATCCGATATTCTGCCTTGAACTACACCACCAATTCCCTGGGTTTTTTCCCCTCTCCCATTGTCTTTTTGCTTGGATTTGGCCATCCTTTGAAGAGCTCTGTTCAGCCTGGTTTTTTCTCACCTGGATAATAGTTTGCATCTTCCATCCCGTTTGGACTGTCTCTCTACATTGCTTTAGCCAGGCTGAACTGAGCAGGACTAGTGGAGCCAAAGCCCTTCTCTTTCCTTTTGTGGGTGTCTTCAGGCTGGTTTTGCACCTCTCTGGCTCTTACTGAGACAGGCAGGAGCTCAGCTGACCAGGCGTTTTCCACCAGCCCAGCTGTGACTGGGCTGTAGATGCCGAGCTGAGGACCAGGGGAGCTCCTGGGTTTGATCCTCAGGGCTGTTCCTTCTCCTTGCTCTTCATCCTGGTGTGGTCAGACTTGCTACCAAGCAAAACACACTGGCTTTGGTTAGTCAGTTTTGGGAGGTTTGTCTGGAAAGCAAACATACACATTAGTGGTTTTGTATTCCTGTCCGTAAAACAAAAAAGCAGAACCTGGTGTCCCACTTCCTCCTGTGTACAACCCTGGTCTGGGACCAAACCTTCCTCCTGTCGTGACTGGTGTTTCTCTCCAGTAAAGCATTTTATACTGGTGCTTGTTGAACTACAGTAATAACTGGGTGTTCTGAATGGTGACTCCACTCCCTCCCTGTTCAACCAGGGCTTAACAGCTCCTACTGCATACAGTCTTGAGAGCTGGTAGCGGCTTCCAAAGATTAAAAATATATTTTTTTGAGCAATAAGGAATACAATGCTTTTTTTTTTTTTTTGATTTGGAGAGTAAATTAGAGTGAAGGAAGGATGATGCCTGGTGGAAATGAGAAATATGTGTTACATACATAATATACGCCCCAAATGTCCTATTACAAATACAAGAAGATTTCCTGAACTGGAGAAGTTGTTACACATTACAGTGTGGTAATGCTCCCCCATGGAGGTGCTGATACTGAGAGAGTCTTTAGTGTAATAATATTAAAAATCCAAGAGTTTCAATAAGATCCTCCATGCTACCACAGCTGTAGGAAATGAATTGATTCCAAAGGAAGGCTCTAACTGCTGCTTAGCATCCACAAAATATTCCAAGATCCACTGCAAACATATATCCCAATGTGTCTGTGGCATGTTCTGCAATAACACGTTTTCCAAAGAGGCAGTCACTTCCCAGCTGGTGCCCTCGGAGTGACCGCCGGTGCTGCAGCCCTGCAGTGGCACAGCTCGGGGTGAGCACCAGCACCTCTGCCTGTGGGGACCTTCAAACCTCAGCAGGTTTGGAGTCTGGGAAAGGCCCTGTTGTGCTCTTCCACAGGGCATGAGCATGGACTCCGAATCAGCAAATACTGGGTATTGGGTACATGAATAACTACACTAGAGTTGGTTAATCTACCTGTATAAAGTTACTCAAAAGCATAAATATTTGCAAGTATAATGTTTTCCTCTGAATGTTTTACATCCATCTTTTTCAAGATGCATGTATTTACTCGTCTTTACTCAGAGCATGTCTTTTCTCACGAGTTCTGCCGTCCTGTACACGCTATCCAGTTCGTACCAGTGTTGTTTTTTCAGGACACTGAATAAGAGGAATTTTGGTCAGTCTTGGCTCTGATGCCAGAGCTGTGGCTGAACAAACACGGTTCACTCATCACTGGTGGATGGGTGCCAGAACTCACATCCTCCAGAACACTGTTCCAAATAATTGTGTGTGCAAGCCGGGTTTGTCAGCCATCTGGGACGTGCTCCGTTCGTGCCACCACCACAGCATGGCCTGGCTGGAAGGGAGGTGACTGCCAGTGCTACTCCTCAGGGCTTGATGCTGGAGACAGCACTGCTTCCCACCTCACAGTGGAGTGCTGGCAGCAGTCAGGGGGGTGATGAAGGTGCCTGAGGAGCCAATCCTACGGCCATTCTGGAGGAAGCCCAAAAGATCTCTGCTGTGGCCAGAGAGCTCGTCCCCTCAGTGCTTGCCTTGGTGAGCACCTGCCCACTGCACTGCAGCTCATACTCTCCATGGGGAGAGCTGGCATGGAAGGGGCTGTGGCTGTCCATTAAGGAGAGCAGAGCCCCTGCCCTGGCATCTCCAGCCCCAGAGCACCTCAGGGGAGCAGTCAAACCTGTTCCTCAGTCAGAACAGAGTCCTGGAGCTAGCACAGGGGCACTGGACTGGTACCACTGCACATGCTGCCCCCAAGGGCAGCAGGAACTCCCAGCAAGCCCTGGTCAGAATTCACCATCAAAAACACAGGGAAAAAAAGCTGTAAAGGATCCTGCATCCTCATCCTGCCTGTAAGCTGGGATGCATGGGGTTGTTTTTTAATAAAGAGATCCCAAAGCATTTCAGGGAACAACATGATCCCAGCAAGAGACATGGGGATATTTTGAGAGCTCACTGTAGTCAGAAGCCCCAGACCACCCACCAGGTTTCACTGCATTTTTTCATTTCATTTTACTTTGAGTTGAACCTTTTGTTCTTACTCAGCAAGGCTGTGTAACATTTCCTGCAGGGAAATTAGCTCACTACTTTCCTTCTGCAGTCCTACTTACTTTTGGCTGACTGTTGGATGCTCTGTAGTGGGTGTCATAGCTGGTGGGCCAGGCTGCAGCCCAGCCTGGGCATGCCACAGGCAGACTCTGTGCTGGAAGTCCAGCTCCTCCCATCTCTGAGCTGCACTTTGAGGTCCTGCCACAGCAGCACTGACACTTCCTTCTGTCCCTTTTGGTTCGGCCACGATACAGAGGAAGTGTGTGAGTTTGACCGAGGTTAAAAGGCATCATTTCTGAATTTAGCTGGAGTGAAAGAGCACACAGCATCTCTGCACCTTGTCTTTGGGGCAGCACACACTCAAGTGGCAGCTCAGAGGCTGAAGCCTGCAGCTGGCAGCACAGCTCACATATCTCTCTGCCCACTCTTCAGCACTGTCCCCCTACTGCCAGCTCAGCCTCCCTCCAACTGCAACCCTGCCAGTTTAGTGAGGCTGTGTGACCCCAAGATGGAGTGGAGAGGGATTTTTACAAGTGCCAGCGCTTGTGTGAGTACTGACACCTTCAACTGGTGCAGGACAGCACAAAGTAGCTGCACACTCTGCTCAATATTTTTAATACTATGGACCATA